CTCCCTGCAGCCCAGCCTTCCCCAAAACTCAAGGGTGGCCGGGCTGGGAGGAGGCTGTCAGTATTCCTCAGGAACGAATGAGGAAGAGTCAGAGGAGCGCATCTACAGGGAAATATGCCGGTCACTCCCCCGGAGAATACATGATGCCACCTTCACCGCGCTGCGATGCGTCAAGGTCCCCTGCCCATAGAGGAAACACGTTGTGAGCGGGGAGGAGCTGCTCGGCAGAAGGGGCCAGAACCTGAACTCTCCATTGCCAAAACGGGAGTGTAAAGTAGTAACCCCTGTCGAGAGCCCGGCACGATTACAGCAGCGTCCTACCATCACAAAATACCTTGGGGAGGGGGTTACCGCACATCCCACACTGTGCCTGGGCAGAGCAGGCATCATACGCCACGTTGTCGCTCAGCGCCTCTTTGCTAACACCGCTAGCGGCTGGTATTTGGGGTCCTCTCACCTCCTAAACCAGACAGATTAATTCTGGTGGTGCTGCAAAATACACAGTGGCGAAGAAGTACAGTTGCAGAGTAATTCTGGCTGGAAAGGAGCTCTGGAGGCTTCTACCCAACAGCCTGCCCCGAGCAGGACTAGCTCCAAGTTAGGCTAGGCTGCCTGGGACCTTGGCCAGTCAAGCTTTGAAAATCTCCAAAAAATGCAGCTTCCATATTGTCTCTGGGCTCCTGTCCCAGGGCTGAAGTTGAACCGCCACAGACCGGACAAGGCGGACTGACACAGCACTTTCCTACAACATTCCCACGTCTGCTGTAGAGTGACGGAGCCTGTTAGCAGGGATAAGGTCTTCGCTTCCTAGACTCTTGTTCTCCACTTTCCATCGGAAATAAGGGAGGAAAGCATTCAGCACTTTTTAGCTTCCATGCGCCTTGGAAGCACCAGCAGGTTCGTGCAAATAAGGATTCTTTATTTATGGGGTTGACTGGAATTGTCCCAAATCCAGGCTTCCTGCAGCCCAGCATTTATCAGCGCTACAAGGATAAATGCCGCGCACAAGGATGCCATGATAAATGCAAGTAGTTTTCTACTGAGTCATCATGTCCTGAACAGCTGTTGAACGCAAAAGGTGCTAACAAAAATTGCGGCAAGGACTTCAAAAGACTTGTGAAAATCTCCAGCTCAGTCTGCAATCCTAACGGTGATGGAAATGGTTATTAATTAATCTTGCTCTTTGGGGAGAAAGTACCAGTGTAAGGACTAATTAAAAGAGTGCATCGTACAGCCGAGGGTAAAAGGTTATTTATGGCACCACGTTAGAGCCCTGCCGCTTTTTCTCCCTTCCGCAGGCCCAGTGGGAAGGATTAACTGGACGGATTGTCTTTAACAAAACTAGTGGCTTACGGACAGATTTTGATTTGGATATCATCAGCCTCAAAGAAGATGGTCTCGAAAAGGTAGGCAGGGTTTATCTTACCTACAGAATTATGAGTGAGCCAAACTTTGAAAGGTCTACTCAGGCAACAGAGAAAATTGGTGGTGGGTGGTCTTACTGCTTCCATGTTTTCTGTTTTATATATAAAAGGATATTTACTTTGTGGGATTTCTCAGACCCTTTTCCGTGCCTCATCTGTGACTCTCTAGCCCTGAATCACTGTGCGCAGCATTAGTTCCTTGCTGCATAAGTGCTTGTGGCACTTTGCTGGGATATGGCAGAAGTAAAGTGGAGGCAGAATAAACTTTCTGAGCAGCCATTGACACCTCCTTGCCCGAGATCAAAATGGAAGGAATAAAACCTGTCCCACCCTCCATCCTGCTGGGCTTGCTTACAAAACACTGACATTTTCCTGAGGAGGCAGCAACTCCTGGAAGCATCATCTTGGTGTGACTTCCTTCAATAAAAATCGTCTAAGACTTGGAAATGGCACCGGCTTATTACAGCCTAGGTTTTGGAGCAGGACGCTGTGTGTATCTTTGTTTAAATTTTTTTCTGTATTACCGAAGGAATAAGAAAAAAAGCAAAGTGCCTGCTCTGGCCTGTCCGGCCTCAGGGTTTCGTTCAGTGGCTGCCTTTTCCCAGCCATCCAGAGCAGACGTGGTAGTACAGAAAGTGCAGGCTCAGTTCCTCCTAATGAGTGCAGATCTCCCCTGGGCAGAGAAATACGATGCTGATGTGCAAATCTGATTCTCAGGTGTTCATGGGGATTTCATTTCCTTTTCTTCAATTACTTTTCCAAAAAAAAAAAAAAAGCAATATGCAAACTATTAAAGCTGCTAAAATGCCATTTTCAAGATGAGATCATTTCATTTAATAGACAAAACAGAGCAGCAAGTGGCCTAAAACGAACACAGAACTGTGCAGTGGACAGCTTATACCAAGCATTACCAATTCTCGGGTGCTCTACTCTAATCCGGCTCCAGATAACGCCAGATGAGGCCATGCAGCGCTCGCACAGGGTCTAACCCCTCTCTGCGAGTAATTCTGGGTCCACGTTCTGCTAAAGGGTGTCTCACCTGCAGATTTACAGGAAAAAGCTGGCTACTAGGCAGCAATTCCCTTTCCAGAGCAGAACCTGCTTTAGATACTCGCAGGGTGCCTTGCTGGCAGCTACGGATGAAGTGCTGAGTCCTGTAACCTTTGGGCAGGGAGACAGACTTCAAATACGGCAGCAAATGCCAGCTGGGAACCCAGAGAGGGAGTTTTCAATTAACCATGCAGCAAGCAGCCCGAGATGCACAGATGACTTTTCCAGTTAAGGCTGGGGGATTAATCAAACAGCGCTCGTGGGCAGCCCTGGGAGGCTGGAGGCAGCAGCTCCACCAGACTCCCCTGCTCGGAGGGCGAGGACGCAGAGGGGCTCCCCGGGACCCAGCGGCTCGACTGCCCCATCCCCCTTTCTTACCCTTTGTTTTTCCTCCTCTTTAAAATTAAATTGTTGCCGTGCTTTCACACCACAGTGGTAGCTCCCCGCTTCATGTAAAAAAACTCAAGGTCACCACTGCACTCTCCTAGTGGATTTGTTTTGGTGCCAAATACAGAATAAAGAAAATGTTATTGCAAGAAAACCCAGCGCCCTGCAGTCCCAGCCGCAGCCCAGCGGAGCTCTGGGCAGGAAGGAGGTGGGGACGGGGCAGAGCCAGAGCTTGCCTTTTCCCAAGAATTGAGCAGGAAATGATCTCTGTAGATTCATTTTTTTTCTTCAAAATATCAAAAATTAAAATTTTCCACTTAACATTTGACATGAAATATTGAAACCCTTAAAACATTCCCAAGACAAAAAAAAAACCCCAAAAGTTACATTATTCCATTTGGATTTTTTGACAACTCTAAAGTAGTAACTACCAAAAATGTTTAGAGTCTAAACCACATCAAAATCACCCTATTATGCAAAATTCTTCAGTTTTGAAAAACCAGCATTTCCCACTGACTGCCATTCATCTTTCTCCTTTCCCCTCTGCTGATTTGTTCAGCAGCAGAAAACCTCCCAGACAAGAAGAGATGGATCCAGGTCCTTTTTTGATACATGGACAAGAAAATGATAGCTCAGAACATTAGCACTTGAGGAAGAGTTCATGAAATTAATCCATAGGCCGAGATCGATAAAGCATAACCGGACAGCGTAAAAGCTTCCTCTGCCAGCGATGTTTTGCTGAGGGTAGGCGGCTGCTCTGCGCCCGCAGCACCCAGCGCTGCCGGAGCCTGCGAAGCCTCTCCCCCGAGCGGTGCCCCGAACGGGCACGCTGATTTGCAACACTAAATTGATGGGAAATTCATACCTGAATTTCTACAGAATCCCACAGAACCCCCCCTCTGTCTTTCTGAAGTACAGTGCCCCAACGACTGTGAGAGAGCTGTGTGTTGGTAAAATAATAGAAAAATGTGGCAAGTATTTGGATACCATATGAATCTAAATGTTTACGTACAACCACAGCATCTATCTGTCAAACTAATACTCCTCAAGCGTGCTGGAGACTGGCACTAGCTGTATTTATTACTAGTGCGTGTCACATAAAGCACATAGCAAGTTGCCAAACCTCGATGCATATTCCGCGCAGTCATTCGGCTTTTGTGTTTTGATCTCTGTCAATTCAGAGATTTCACAATTCCCACTATTATTTTTTAAAAAGCTTCTTCTCAACTCCAGCGGGGTTTTAAAGTATCGATGTCAAATCTCTGCTGATACTAGGTTTCTGTCAATAGTTAATCTGAAATAACAAAATGCCAAACTACCAAACTACAAACAAATCCCACACGGATTCTGCATTATGTGTAATAGCTTACGTTTGTTGAGCTTTAGGATTGAACTCCTGATCCTTATACTTCCTGGATGTTCCAGGGATTATAGAAGTATTAACTAAACATAATTACATGCAGTTTGACTATCTGACTTGCACACTTCTCTTAATGCACTTTTTTTCTTTTTCTTCCCTTTTTCAATATTTTAAACTGATTAATTCAGTCTTAAGTTCCATGTATTTCATTTTCTTAAAGCAACTGAGCTGCAGCACTAGCAGGGGCCTCTTAGATTCCTGCTTCTTCTTTTCATGCACAGTAATAATCTTTTGACATTGCAGCTGTTCTGTGACTGAAGGGAGACAAGGGGGATTGCCTGGGTTTTACCTGAAATATTTAGAGCCTTTCACAAAGTTCATGGAAACTCTTTCACAATTTATGAATTTTTTTTGCCAGGCAGCATTTCTCATTATGAAGTCTCTTTTTGGGGATGCAGTAAAACCAAGTTCTCTCCTTGGACTACTGAAGAGGTTAGAATATCTTAAAAATAGGAATAAATAAAATATTGGAAGTTCCTGGCTCCCCAGTGGGTTTGAGCTGTTTGCTGCGGGTTTCTCTCTCAGTCCTGTGTCACAGTATGAACCCTAAGATGGATTATCTGTTCCCGTTTCCATATGGGTTTTTGTTTTTTCTCACTGCCAGGCTGGCTGAATGGCCACCCTGCTCCGTTTGCTGGCCGCAATCCCACATCCCTGCAGCTTTCGTGGCGTTTTATCTCCCTGTCACAGGCCTTTAGCCAGTCCTGCCTCCAAACTTTGTCTCCCCGGGACTGCTGAGATCAGGTTGAGAGGCCTACAGTTGCCCAGATGACTTCTCTTAAATAGAAACATGTTTTGCTACTTCTGGGTCAACAGGCTTCTTCAGAGTCTAAAAATGTACTAAAACTGACAGCCTGAGGAAAAAAAGAGCACCTCAAAGAGATGAGGAGCAGAGCTGTACGTGCCCGTGCCTGAGCAGGTCGCCGCACCTCGGTGGCCCTGCGCGCCCACCTTGCAAGGGGCACAGCTGGCTCAGGGTGGATGACTTCAATATATCTCTGAGCGGGATGATGACAACAAAGGCAACTGCACAGTCGCACAGGGAAGGAAAGCACGTGCAGCCGCCCGCTCTTAGTGCCGGTGTGTGGGGCACCGGCTGACCTCCACAGCAGCGCCCCGACCCGCTGCGCGCAGCCTGGAGCTCTCCAGCCCTCTTGTCCTCCACAAGGGATCAGGGCTGAGCTGTTTCTGCTCGGCAGAGAGAGAACCAAGAGTTCAATCAATACTGCCCTAAACTGCAGCTCAGGGTGCACTTAATCACCTGTCCTGGAGATGCTGGGGCTGAGGTCCTTTAAGGGGAACGCATTATAAAAGTGAGTCTATGCCTCTGTGCAGAAGATAGAAAGGGTCCATATCAGGGATCTGCAAAGCCAGTCAAATTTTTTAATTCTTCCCATCAAAACAAAAGAATTAAAGTGAAAGAAAATGGCCTCACATTCTTACTTGTTTACTTTTGTTCTGTTTTGCTCCTGCCCAGAGTTGACTCTTCAGTGCATTTTGATTGTTTGCAATCCACAGAACCATTGCAAATTGTTCACTTAGCTCCTAAATGCTAGTTATCATGGTCTTCTTTCGTGCTCCTGTATCCTTCAGAGAGCAGCATAAGGGTTGGTTGTTATACACATTCAGGTGGAGTGACCTGCCACTGAAGGGTTAATGCAAATCTTCTATTCAGCTGATGTAAGATGATAATTTCAGCTTTGCTTCCATTTTCAGCAGATGAGGGAAGCAACTCCATTCTTCCAGGCCAGTAGGATGCTGAAAGCAACTGAATAATGTGAGCCGAGTGTTGATTCATTTGCTTGCTTGCTTCATTCCAGGTCGGAGTGTGGAGCCCTTCCGATGGCTTGAACATCACAGAAATTTCCAAGGGACGAGGGCCTAACATCACAGACTCACTGAGCAACAGATCTCTAATTGTCACCACTGTCCTGGTAGGAGATTGCAGGCCTGTCTTTTCCATCTACATGTAAATCTCTGGGACATGTGATTTCTCTGACAATTTGCAGCACGCCATTACAGATTTGCTAGTCCCTCGGAAAGCTGAACGAGGGCATGGAGAGCCCCAGGTGCAGAGCCGGACTCCTGCCCATGGCTCTGCCGCGCACCTGCACCCTGGGCTCCCAGAGCCAGGGCTGCTGCTTCTCCCTGCTGCACGCCTGATATCCCCTGCTGCAGGGGCCTGACCAGCTCTCCCGTTCCTCCTCGCTCTCTGCACGCGTGAAGGTCACCGGGGGCTACGAACGCTGAGCTCCAGAAAAGCTCTTAAATCGCACAGGGCCTGTAGCATGCAGCTGTCTGGCTTGTCAGCGGCAGTGAGCATCGCCAGCTGCTCGGTCGCTCTATCTCAGATAGCAATATTCTTGTTGCAGGAGAAAATGCTAAGAACAACCAGAGACCTTGCCTTAGCTATGACAATCGTGTTTCTTTCCCCCTCTTAAGTACGTATTTGATAAACTAGCTAAAAGTAATGCAGTTATCCAGCAAACCATGGTTACTTAACTGGTCTCCTCTGCTTCTAACTGTCACACCGCATTTTCTTCTCACGTTCACTATTGGATTTGATGGCAGGCATCAGATCGGAATTAATTTTTATTTAACATCTAATGAATTATGACTAGTAGCATTGGTTTCTATATAGCTGTATTACACAGTGTGGGCTTGTGGCATGCCTACAGGAAGCACCAACAAATATCAGCACTTGGACAGCTTACTCACGTTTGGGTCTGAACTGTGTTTTTGCCTGTGTAAATTTTCTGGCTCTTTGATATTCCATATTTTCAGGGAGCCTAAAGGTAGAGACGGAAAAGAACTGCCAGCCTGGGGGTTGTGTGCTCCAGTCCAGAGCACTGTGATCCCTCACTACAGACCTCCTTGCCTTCCTAAAAGGATGCGTCTTTATAGAGTGGGGTTTTGTGTTATAGAAGGAATTGCACAAAGAGATGCAAGACTGGGAGGTCCATCCTCTCAGCTTCTCATTGCCCAGAAGAAAAGAGAGTAAGGAAACACCTGATGCAGGGCATAAGAAAGATCGGAAGCAAAGCTCTTGCTCCACATAATAATGGGTTAGTGAAACGGGAGCAGACAGAACGCCGGTGCAGGGCAGATGCTGCTGCTGCTCTCCTGACAAATTAGCCATCCCATCTAATGAAAAAAAAATACAACTCAGAACTTCCCCCTTCATCACCTAATATTTGTTCCACTGAAACATTTTGCTCAAGTTCCCCCCAGAGAGTCGGGTACCGGATGCTCTCCTTGACTAAGCTTCGCAACACACTGTTTTCATGTCCCAACACGCAAGGGAGACTGAGAAAGTAAGTTCCCTTCCCCGTCTGAAAGTTTCACACTACGCTACTCCCGCGGGACCGAGATGGGTCATGCTTATGGTGGATCGGCGCAGGCACGGTATCCAATGCAATATGCATTAGCAGAATCAGTGGCAGCAACGGTTCGCCACTGGCTATGGTTATTCAAATGAATTGTCACATCAGGAGTTACTGCAGAAGCATTAGAGAAATGACAGAGCAAAAGGCACTTTAACGATTCAACATGCATCAGATGGTGAAACTGCTTCTCTTCAGACTCTTGCAGTAGTAGCCTTTGTGCAGGCACACACAATACACATGCAGTTTGCTTTCCCTTTTATTATTTTGCATTTAAGCATTTTTGGTGTGTTCAAAAAGCTTGTGAAGAGGAAGTCGAAGTAGTCTTTTCTAACTGGCCAAATAGAGAGACCTACCATGCCAGGTTTAGTTCATTTTAGCAAGGTAGGCTGCCAGTCCCTGTACATGGGAGATGCAAATTTTTAGAGCAACACGAATAACACATCTCATCAATCCACTCTCAGGTGGAGGCTCAGGATCAGCTGCAAGGGAATCGCTCAACCCATGCTGCAGCCTGATAGAAATCCCCCGAAGTTACATAACGACTCACCTCCCCCCATCTCTAATTAGAACCGTGCACAGTATAGTGGGGGAAACTGCTGCGAGGGGATGGCTGGTACTGCTGCAGAGGAGGCTCGAGAGACAGCAGCAGAGCTGCTCGGACAGAGGCAGCAGCAGATTGTGCAGGGTGAAACCGAGGGGCACCAGATAAGTCCAGGACTAGAGTACTGGCAAGAACTGTATGGTGAGGGCTGACGGAAATCAGAACAGATGCATCTCGTTAGGCATAAGACACATGGCTAGAGCTGTAGAAATGCCTAGGTCTAGAATAGCATGATTGCTGTACCTTAAGATTAAGGTATAATGCAAAATGACGGAGCCAGGAGGAGACCTATCAGCCATCTGCCCTTGACATGCTTCTTTCAGGCAGCATTTTCATCTCTTACCCCACGAGCACACATAAATTATAGAACGTGCAACTGTGATATCAGTTCCCATTAATTGTGTGAGGCCTTGGGCCTGCACACACACAATGGGGTCTCTACCTAGAAACCACCCCTGTCCTACAATTCTGTTGCCTGCAAGAGTAAGAAACGTGCTTAGATCCAAGTTTTGCAATAACTACATTTTCATATTCTAGATTCTAAAAAATAAAATAAAACCCTAAACTTTATTTGCATTTGCAACTTCCCCTTGTGCCTTTGCATTGGTGTAAATGATTGCAGAAAAGCCATAGGAGGAACCTTTCAAAGGAAAAGCGTGAAAGGTTATTTTTCCCCCTTTTGCACATATTGCAGTGACTTGTTGGAAGAGAAATATTACCCCAGCAGCCAGTGCCACTCTCCCCAAGCAATATGGGAACTGTGAAGTTATGAAATTGAGGGCACCTTCACCGAGAAATCGATTAGCAAACCGAGAGAGCTTGTGAATTGGATGTCTGGCCATTTTCAGTAATAAATTGTGAAATAGCCCGTGAATAAGTGGTTCACAGAGTTCAGAATTACCCCCTAGGAAATGTCTGAGACCTGGAGATACATTACTGAAGCGAGTGGCGTCCTAATGTTCAGTGCTTCAGCTGTTAAATATGCATGTAATCCCTACAGCGCTTCCCAAAATTAATAGTGCTTTATGGCTGCTCTGGAGCTGGCGTATTTATATCAAGATCCATAGATTCAGCTGATTCACAAACAAAGCACTAATTCCAGGGAAGAAAGCTGAGGAGGAGGCCAGAGAGCAGGATTTAACTGAGCTGCATGCGCCAAACTACACTCCATAGGTGTGATGTTATCAGTTTTGTTTCATAATTCTGCAAATCTGGTTTTGTGTGCTCCCGCTCATCCCCTCCCTACCCTGCCACGAGGCCACGCAGGCACCTCCTGCCCACCTTCCTGCTGCCGTGTGCAGGAGGCAGAGGTTTCTCCCACAGCAGCAGTGGGGCTAACACGGTCTTGCAGAGAGGGACGACCAGCAGCCCCCCGGGGCCGAGGCGCCTGCTGTAGTCCTGGGTGCAACAGGGCATCTTGCTAATATGTTAACTGGGATTCCAGATCTCCCATCCTGCGACTGTCAAATCCCCGTTTCCCCATGCAATACTGCAGGAACTCCAGCAACGCAGCCGACTCCGCAGGGCAATCTGTGAGCCTTCTGCAATAATTGCATTTTCATATCCTGGCCATCCCCATCAGCGAGGACTGCAGCCTTGAGGGTACCTTTAATTTGAACCACTTACTAGCTGCTATTGATCTCTCATTCTCCCCTTGCCTTCTAGCTGTTGCCTGCTGCCTACCATGTTTTGCCATTTCCATCTCTCCTCTACATGTTTTCTCCCTCGTGCCCCCTGGCCCTCCCCACTGAAGCTGCAAATAGAGCAGAGGGCAGATACCAAACCTATGGGAGAGGCTGCTATAGCTCACAGGACGCCTGCAGCAACAGCAGGTTTCCTCTCCCATCCCCTGCCTCAGCTGTTCTCATGCCCCATCAACTACTGGGGGAAAAGAGTAAAATGACCTAAACTCAGGGCACGTTTTGAGCTGACCAGCAGCCAAGTATGGTTCCTTCACCTTGCATTTAATCTACCAGCCTCTTCCTCATTGCCATTGCAGTGAACCACTGCAGTGAGGCACTGTGGTGCAGGTCAGCTGCATTTCTGCTGTGCAGGATTTGCCGTTCAATTTGTCCCCCCCTACCCCTTTTATTGTTTCTCAATGCTCTTCCTTTTCAGAGCATGAAATGGTTATTTTTCTCCCTGAAATCCCACCAAATGGAAAACAGTTGGCTGCTCAGAAGAGACAAAATTAAATTTTGTGGGGTAAACAAGGCTGCTAATTAGCACGATGCACTGTGCAAAGTTAATTTATTCCAAACATGTCACAGTGCCAACGCTGCCTGAAGAGCCTGGTCTCATTGCTCAGGTCTACCTGCCGAGCGGCCCTTCCTCTGGTGCTTTGCTGTGGCAATGGGACTGGCAGCTGGCCCATAATGGTGACTCTTTGCTTTCCGGTGTCCAGGAAGAGCCCTTCGTCATGTTCCGCAAGTCAGACACGGCCCTGTTTGGGAACGACCGCTTTGAGGGTTACTGCATTGACCTTCTGAAGGAACTGGCCATCATCCTGGGCTTCACCTACGAGATCCGGCTGGTGGAAGATGGGAAATACGGCGCACAGGATGACAAGGGGCAGTGGAACGGCATGATCAAGGAGCTCATTGACCACGTAAGTGAGGCACATCTGAACACGCATGCAGCAAGGGTGGCTTTCTGCTGGGGGTGGGACTGCTGTCTGCTGCTCTCTGGCTCAGGATACCTGCAATAAGCTCATATTCTGCTTGGGCCCTCATGGGCTCTGTCTATGTCGCACAGCATGTAAGAGGTGTACCCCTGTCACCAGCGTGATTTCTGACTCTTCCAAATATTCATTTGGAGTTTTCTGAGAATGAATGTTTTCACAGTACAAAAACGGGCTCTGCAGCTTCAGTCACAGACCGACCCTGCTGCGCTGCTGTCCCCGCCAAGGCAATGGGGTGCAGGCTGGGCCCGCAGGCAAGCGGGAGGGGGCTGCTCCAAGGCTCGGCCGCCCCCGCCTCCCGCCCGGGAGCGGCGGGGCTC